ACGAACATTACTTTACACCATCGCGTTACTCGCTCGAAGTTCGACTAAAAAAAAATTTCAAACCTGTTTTTCTCAACACTGGACAGTTTTTTTGAATTATTTAACGTTGTTTGAATCCGATTACTATATCTGGAAGCTGATTTTTGTGAAAAAAAAAGAAAAAACATACACACCCGAATACAAAGTTTGCCGCCATTTTCAATAGTCGGGACGAGACATTATTAAAAACAAAGGTTTTTTTATTGTCTGAATTCAAAATTCTCAATAGTGAGGGGGGCGGGGGGGGGGGGGGGATAATGCCTTTCCTCAGTGATCTGAGCCCTGGCTACCCATAAGATCTTCCCTTTGGTACTATTTTAAGACCTCGATTTTTTGCTGGCTGACCTTAAAATTTTTCTAAAAACAATTTGGCGCCAATGAATACTATTTTTGAGGGGGGAGTGCGCGCCAAAAAAAACACGATTATTCGGTCTAAAAAGTGCCTAAAAAGACCTCTTTGGTCTGTTTTTTAAATAAAATTTGCCTGCGGCGCAAAAAATTTGGCCAAATCAGGGTCAGTGCTTGGGGAAAGCTCGGAAAATCAATTTGGTCGACCTAAAAAGAATCGACCCCCCTCTCCAGAAATTCCTAGGTCCGCCCCCTGGTTGAAACTATGCAGTAAATTGGCTCGCGCTCCCCCTCAAAATTAGAAATATTGGCGCCATAAAAGACGCCGATAGAAATTTTAGGTTTGATCAACCAAAATTGGATGTCGTAAACAAGTAATAAATGAGAGACTCTTTGGGCGGTTAGGGTGTTCAATTCGTGAGAACTACTGTGTTTATATGTAAGCTATAATCTCTACATCGGCTGGCTCATATAATACCGTTTTTTCGTAATTTTTTCATGCGAGTATGTGTTTGCAGATGGAAAAAAACTGCAGGTGTATTTTGTTCAACAGACTGTTAAATTGCTCCAATTGCAGTCAGTCCAATTCACGCCCTCAGACCATATTCATTGCACCCATTAAAGTATCCACAATAGATCCTCAAATTGAATGCACGCATGAAATCCCCCTGTACTGAATGGACGCGCTTTTTAGTTGCACGCATTCAAACGTCAATAACAATAATAAAAACAACAAGATTTTCATTGTGAGCCGAATCCCGTTTGAGATCTACAACAGCTGATCGGAAGGTTTACCAATCGAAATGACCCAGGTATGGTAGTTACATCTTTGATTTTTTTTGTTAAGTTGATGTATTTGACTGCTCTTTCTGCCGCTATAAAAAGTAACAACCAGGGATGGATCTAGGACTTTCGCGAGGGGGAGGGGGGTTGGGAAAATTCAACAATTTTTGGAAACTTTTATCGGCATTTTTTATTTTAGGTTGACCAATTTGATTTTCCAAGCGCTCCCAGAACTATAAAAAGTCTATTTTGACAATTTTTTTTTTGCTGAAAAAGTTTTGAAAAAATGTGTCAAAAATACCGTTTTTGGCACTTCTTGGAAAACGTTGACCAAAAATTCGCGTTTTTTTTTCGGCGCGCGCTACCCTTCAAAATTAGTATATATTGGTGCAAAAGGCGCCTTTATAAAAACTTAGGGTTGATCGGTCGAAAATGGATGCCATAAAACAATACCAAAGGGAGGGCTTTTGGTCGGTGGGGGGGGGGGGGGGGGGTTGTCGACTCCACCCATCGTAACGACCGTACGATTTCTCTCACAACACCCTGAGTTTGATTTGTTAGATAAATTTTTTCCCAATAATAATCTAATTTCTTAAGAACAAATTTGATCTGATCCAAAAACTACTTTGTTTCAGCTGATAAGAAGGAAGCCCAAAGGCATTGTTTTCCTTCATAGCTTAGCAGAAGATTTGGAAACCGAAAAAGAAACAGAGGAAAATGGAGCCCAGATTGAAGAACATCAGGAAAGTTATATTCGACCCAAGTTGATAGTAGGACAATTTGACTCAACGAGCAAATTGATTCCTCAAAAATCTCGGTCCAAATCGTGCGATGAATCTCCTCTTGCTTCACAATTGAAAGTTTACAATCAGTTCAATTTGAAAAGGCTCTTCAAAAACGACCAAAGAGCCCAGTTTTGCACGTTTGACAAACGAACCCGATCAGAAAATTTGAAGCTCCAAGACAAGATTTTAACCTCGAGTGATTTTTTCGATCGCCGCTTTTTTGCAGGTCTGCAAGATGGCTTAACACATAAACAGGCGACTTCAAATTTCAGAAAAGAAAAAGACGATTTGCCAGCTAATCAAGTGGGCAAAAATTCCAGCCCCCATAAAGTTATATTGCTTAATTGGGGCAACATAGATAAAATGTCTCCAGGAAACTTGACGCCACGTTCTGGGTGCAACGAGAAAATCAAACCTATACGTACTCAAAACAATAACAGAATATTCTACAGAATGAAACGCGAAGAAGATGCGAGATTGCAAAGAGAAAAATACCTCAAAATGTGGAGGTTTTCAGTGCTGCGCAACGAATACATCAAGGAAATTAAGTTCAAAAAAGAGGAATTGCGAATATATAATGATTCAAAAGTGAATACGGAAAACAGAGCTTCTAAATTAAACAATATAAAATAGTTTTGGTACGACTTTTGAATTAAACGGCGGAAGATTTGTGCACGATTTTCAAGACAAGACTATTTGGTCTTGCGTTAAAAGACTCAAAAACGATCTATTTGTACTTAACTAACAGATTCTCGAAAAAAAAAGTTTTTCACTTTTTACAAAATTTTATATGAACGAATAGTCAAACAACAGTGAGGAGTTTGCCTTGATATGAGGGTTCTCATTATACTTATTTCAAAAAACACAAGAAAGAAGAGAAATCACTAATAGATAATAAAAAAATTGCTCGTATATCTGGGCAAAGCCCTGAAAATCCCGGTAGCACTCTAAGGCCATTTTAAAAAATTGTTGTTGAAAAATAAATAAAATAAAAAACCAAAAATTTTTTTTTCGAGTTATGCCCCTAACCCTAATACAATGTACAAAAGAATATTTAGCGACTAGTATATTAAAAATATATCACATTACTTTCCTCAATTTAATTTGGAATAGTTTAAGCAGCCACTAACACGGTTTAATCGCGCGTCGATCATCCCAGTTTGGCTATATTATCAGTTTTTAAACCCCCATAACCTTTAAAAAATTAATCACAGTTGAATTTTTTTCACATTCGATCACCGGCCAACAATATCTTTCAGATGGTATAAAAAATTTACGAGTTAGGAAATCGAAAATATACTGAGTAAAAAACTACCCAAATCATATAAATTCCGCACTCTCTCCGCAATACGGAACAACATGATTGCTCATATATGAGGGTAAGCCCCAAATTTTCTGACTGTCTTTTAATTGGTCTCGAATTTTTTGTGTTAAGCAAAAAATTGAAAAGGTATACATTTTTGACAATATTTAACATAAAACGTAAAAATATGAGTAGCAAAAAAATACAGCGGCTGATTGGTTAGCTTAAATTTAATTTGGAAATATGTCGAGTGCGGGATTTTTCACCACACACAAACAATTTGTGTTATTTTTCAGCATCACGAATAAAAGTTTCCACAGCGCGAATAATTTAGTCCAGAGCATGGCCAAATTGGCCATTTTGAAACTCAAACCCTCAGAACTTTGCGAAAAAAAAATAATTTTTTTTTCTATTTATAATCAGAAAGTAAATATTCTCAATTGAGTTTAATATTTTTGCTCAAAAGTATCATTCCGATTGCCGAGTTTGAAATGAGAATTAAAAAACCCAGCATAAATATTTCGTCACTTTCATCGAAAGTCGGAACACTAAACGCTTTAACTTATTTCTTTTTTTAGTTTCTTAGCCAACTGCCAAAAAATTACAATAATGTATGCTGGAAAAAAAACTTTGCTTTCAATTACAACCTTCCCTGAAAGTGTCAAAATTTGGTTTTAAAAAATAACCCGATTTTTTCGGGCCAAAAATCACTGTTTCCATCTGTAATAAGTTTATGCAACCGTGTGAAACGAAGAAAAATTAAAGTTAAAAATAAATTGAGAACTCCCTAAAATCAACTTATGTTACTTCCGTGGAGGCTTGATCGGATAGTTTGCTTTCGACTCATGTAAAAGTTTTGTTTAAATTTCAACTAATTTTTGTCCAAATTATCCTTAAAAACAAACACATTAGAATTGAAACCTAAAATTGTGCTAATTGTTATTCATTTTTTAGTTCCGAGCAACCCTGATGTAAAGGATATGTCTATCAAATTGAAGTGATTTTTTTTAGCGCAGAAATTAGTGCTACAGAAAACCACGCGCTCTCCTAAATAAGTTTGAACGTTCTCGCTCGGTAGAAGATTTTGTTTTGGTCAGAAGCTTGCTTTTTGTTCCGACTTTCGATACGAAAGTAACGGAATATTTGTGCTCGGGGTGGGTTTTTTTTTCTTCAGACAAATTTCGACTTTCTAACTAGCCATTTTTGGCAGATTTTTTTTTTATCATTCAAAAGGTATTGTTGTCCTGAGCTTAAATTTGAAAAGATATTTCACCCGTGATCATTTTTTGTAAAGTTATGGGAGTTTAAAGATTGCCATTCTGACCAATTTGGGACAATTAACGCGCGATATATTTCGCGCTATTAATGCGTAAGCGGAGATTTAATCCGTCTTGGAAATCGTTCAAAATTGGTTGAAAGAAGCTGACTTGCCATAATTGATTTGTTACAAGGAGCGAAATCTATCCTTTTGCTCTTTATATGGCGTGTGGGGGGATAATTTTCACAAAAAAATTCAATTTTTAGAAGAAAAAAAATTTTCTTTTATTTTATTAAATTTTGTTTTGTGTTTTTACTGCTCCATAAACCTTAAAAGGCAGTCGGAACATTCAGGCTTCGCCCTGATACGAGCAATCTTGTTGGTCTTTAAAACAGCTCAGAGAATCAATTCACTGAATTTAAAAAAAGATTGAAAGTTTTTTGAACTGTGAGCATGAATTTCAGCCAAAAAAAAAAACAAAAAATTGTTGTCAAATGTTTTATTTAGTTGAAGAAATATGAATTAACAGTTTAAAATGAAACTGTCAGAATTTAAATCAAATCAATAACTTCTACTATTGAAACTTATATACTAATTGAGTCCACAACACCATCATAATAACTAAAAAGTAATAAAAGAAGTTACAAAAATGGTTGACTAAATTGATTTTTTTTTTCGTTTCAGTCTATTCATTGTCTGAACTTTCTTCTCTTTACCTCCTGTAAGCCAGTTTCAGGCTCTATTTTTAAATACAAATATGTTTTCGGAACATATTTCTGCAAAACTCCAGGTTTCGATTCTGGCTTGCAACTAGTTTAACGGGGGAAAATCATTATTTGCTTCGAAATTTTGAACTCAAATCTGATTCGCGGAGTATTTTGTCTACTCTGAAGGTTCGCTTTCCGTGAACGAACAAAACACGGTCATGTCAGCCATGGTGCAGTTATGAGTCATATCTTGCTCGCAACTTTGATCCTGTTCCGGCGCCCCACTCGCCCCCGCCCCACTCCCACTCAGTCGGGGAAACTCAATTTGGGAACACTTGTCCGAACTTTTATCTTCTGTCAAAGGGTGCAACTCCACTAACCCCTCCCCCTCTCCCGCCTCCCCATTTTTGGTGTCATTATCCTTGGAACGTCTGAAAGGGGTGCTTCCCTCATTCGTATCCCCCGTCTCCCCTCCCCCCAACACATGAATCCCCTTCCCTTCCATACTTTTTCCCTTTTTACCTTTAAAACCAGAATCCTTTGGCTTCCCTGCTATGTCCAAATCTGTCCCGATTCGGTTTCGGTCATCGCCGACCCGATTTGTTGCGGTAAATTCCTGCTGGTCGCATTTGAAAACAACTTGATTTCTGTTTTTGCGGCCCAATTTTTCCTGTTTTTGATTGCGTTTGTTGTTCCTAGACTGGCGATACTGGTCTGTATCATTTATTTGTCTGCCAATGGCATTCAATTGAAAATGCGTATCACCTACTTCAAAGTCGTCTACAATTTGACCTTGATTTTGAACACGATGTGTATCCAGATCCCAATTTGCTTGGTTGCCTTCAAACTGGCGGCAGTTGTGATGATCTCCATGATCAGGGCTAGCGCAAACATCCTATAATATTTACAAATCGCTGAAAAAGGCTATTCATTTTTGCCATAAAACAACAATTTTCAGCCAACCACTTACATTGTTTCATAACTTACTTGTAAAACTTTTCCGAACTAATTGATTTTTTAAGAACTTCGTATAAAAATTTGCAATAAATGTTTTTTTTCCTTTAAGAGTTTTTATTAAAACATTTCCTCAAACTATTGTCATATAATGGCTCTACATAGATGGATTTTGGGGAAAGTGACGAAAATGGATGTCTTACAACATAATTGAAAAGACCTCCTGAAAAAAAAACGAATTAAACAGCAGGCTGGTTCTCCTATACTCGGAGTTAATTAGCAGCACACACGCTCGAAATACTTTCAATCATCGAATGTTTGCGCTAGTGGATATTTGCTCTGTACCAGTCATGGCCATAATGATCTTCATGGTCGCACGTGTGGCCCGGTCTTCCAGGTCCCCAATACTCCCTATGGTCGCCATGGTGCAGACAGTATCTGTTCTCTATCACTCCTTGATGAATATTTTCCGGTTCCGATTGTTCCGATTGACTAGACGGCTTGTTGGTCTTGTGGTTTCTAACCTTCCTCAGAACGGGAGAGTCTGTTTTGGTGTGGTTATTTTGGCAATTATGTGAAGTACACTGATGCGAATGGGTATGGGAGTGGGAGGGATGAGGATGGGCTTGAGGGTTGGTGTGGGCGGAGGAGGGGGAGGATATTCTGTTCGGGAGTCGCTTCAGCAAATGATGCTCCACCGCACTGATTGACTCCGACCGCCTTCTGAAAATGCAGGCCCTATTTGACAATAAAACGCTACAATTTTTTTTTCGTAACGGCTGGTTTATAATCTAATAAATAAAACAATCTTGCAAAACTGATCTTGCGAATTATACCGGGCCTACAGCCAGTAGCGGATTTGGGGGGAGGGGGGTCTGCGGACGCCTTCTCTTTAGACCCCCTACCGACCCCCTACCGACCCAAAGGGTCCCCCCTTTGTACTATTTTGAGATATCAATTTTTGACTGACTGACCTTAAAATTTTCTAATGGCATCTTTGGCGCCATCTATGCTATTTTTGAGGTGGGAGCGCGCGCCGAAAAAACGCGATTTTTTGGTCGAAGTTTTCCAAAAAGTTTTCTTTGGGAGATTGGTTTGGGAGAGCTCAGAAATCAATTTGGTCGCCCCCCTCCTCGAGAAATTTCTAGATCCGCACCTGCCTACAGCACAGAAATTTGCCTACCGCACAAAAAGTTTTGCCAAAATATGGTGCTTATTGTGTAATGCGAGAGCTCGGAAAATCCATTTGGTCCAAAAAAGGGTGGACAAAATTTTCGAAACTATTTGAAAGTAGACCCACCCCTCACTCCCTAGAGAAAATCTTAGATCCGCCCCTATGCTACTATAACAAGACCATACATGACCTCATAAAACCATTTGGTACATCATAAAATTGGTGCTTAGTCGAGCTGAGAGACAAGAAAAACAACTATCGATGAAAAAATGACTATGACAAAATGAGAACTATCGATGTTCGGATAATAGTAACTAGTCGACATGCCATTTTTTCCAACACCCGGTCCAGTTTGAACAAATTTTGATTTTTTAAAAATCTCTCAGCTCAAATAAACATCAATTTTTTAATGTAACGAAAGGTGTTACTAGGTCAAGCATGGCAGTTGAATATGTTAGTAATAACTAAAACAGTCACTAATATAATTATAAAATTGAAAATGTGCCTGCAGCGCAGAAAATTTTGGCTAAATCGGGTTTTTAGTTTTTGGGGGAGTTCGAAAATCGTTTTGGTCGACTTACAAAGAAAAGGTCGACAAAATATTTGATACTTCCTGACCCCCCGACGAGAGAAATCTTAAATCAACCACGAGGTGGAGGGAAGGAAAAATAGCCGATGTACCTGAACGAGGCGATGTCAATATAGGGGTCCACACTGCCCCCGCAACATTGTCTGTCGCGACACGAGTCCATTTCACCCGCAGGACAGTCCAACAGACACTCCCTCATCCCTGTTCCCTTCTCCAATCCCCCTCCTCCTTCGCCCCTTTCGGCCCCGCCGCCGCCGGCAGGTACAATGTGATCATATAGAGAGAGGGGCTCTATTTCTGGCTGAACTGTGACGTAGAGTATGTGCAGATCTCTCATGATATCTCGTATCTCCTAGATTTATAAAAAGGTTTTCCCTTCAGAAAGTTAACAAAAACTGAACCTGAACGTGGCCTTTGAATAGATATTCAGGCAGGTTTTGCTGGACGGAGAGAAATATATTTTAAGAACCAGATGAAAGTGAAGACTTTTGTAAAATAATTTCAGGCTAGGCCATATTCCCACTTGCAGTATCACAAAATCGTCTTAAAATGAAATTTTTTTCTTAAAATGAAAAGTCCAGTGAACAAAATCTTCTTAAAATGAAAAGTCCAGTGTAGCCAGCAAATTAAAAACCCCCCAAAACAAAAAAAATCCTTATGGGGTATAATTTCTTTGTAAATAATCTGGCAAGGGGGACATAAGGGGGTAAAAATGGCTAAAAAGATGTGGCTCTTATCCACTCGCCCTTCCCCACATTTCTTATTTTTTTTAGTTGTCTTACTACAAGTTATTATGACCGCATGCGTTATGTTACGATGTAAGGTATGAAGAACAAATCTGTTCACAAAAGTTAGTTTGTTCACCATTCAAAATTTCATTTCATTATGACAACACGTTAAAATAATTTTTCAAAACTGAAATTTAAATGTGGGGAAAAAGGGGAAACTAAGAACCACAGATATATACAGAAACACACTACAGAATGAACAATTGTATGTTTCTGACGTGCCTTTTGCACAGGTGTGAAATGGTAGGCGTGTCTGAGTCGCACGTGCATCTGACACCACAGCTGCTCATCCCGCATACGCCACACGTGTAGCTCGTGCACATTGGTCACGTGGTGCACTCCTGTGTAATAGTGTCACATGGTCACGTGGACACCATACCATCCACATGTGTTTTTATTTTATAATTCAATTTATGGGTAAATTTCCCCTAAACTGACCGACCCTTATTAACCTTTAAAATTAGCGAATTTAATCAGACGGTCAATAAGCAAAATGCTGAGTCGTGATCGGCTGAAAAAACTGGTTTCTGATAGGCTGCAGCCAGTTGTAATATTAAACCAGGAACTTTTGCCAAAAACAAAATTTAGCCGTTTTTTTTGGCTGGCTGTAAAAACAGATCGAAGACTGATGTTAATTAGTTAAGGGCTGGGCGGATCTAGGATTTTCCCGAGGGGGGCGGGGGTCTTCGGGCGACTTTTTTAAAGATTTTCCGAGCACTCCCAGAACACTCCGACCAAATAGATTTTCCGAGCACTCCCAGAACACTATAAAGACCCTATTTGAACCAAAAATTTTGCGCCGCGGGCTAACTTTTGAATTTTCGTTTTTAGGCCTTTTTTTGGAAAACTTTAACAAAAATTGCGTTTTTTCGGGGCACGCTCCCCTTCAAAATCAATATATATTGGCGCCAAAGGCGCCATTAGAAATTATTTAGGGTTGATCGGCCCAATATGGATGTCTGGATGTCATAAAATAATACCAAAAAAGGGACCCTTTGGTTGGTGAGGGGGTCAAATCTTTGAGGGAAAAAAGGGCGTTCACCCTGTCTCACCGCCCCCCCCCCCCTAAATCCGCCCCTGGTTAAGGTTTGTGGTGCCTAAGGGTAAAGCAAATCTTAGATAGACTATCTCGACCATTAACAATGTGATTTTGGATTTTAAAATTATAAAAATACAATGATTTTTTAGAAAATTTTGGATTCACTTTGTATAAAAATATGTCAGTTCGCCAGTTTTGACTCAATTTTTACAGTTTTCATTTTTTTTTTACTTTTGAGAGAGATGCAGGAAGGTGAGGGCAGAGCGGTCTAAAAAAAAGTGAAGGGTTTTGTCGATTTTGTTACTAGGTCGAGGAGATTGATTTTCCAGCTCTCTCAAAAAATTATGAGCTTGGGTGGTGTGTGGGAATATAAGTGTGGGTGATGTGTGCCTGCGAGTCTCTTGCGCAGATATCGCATGTCAACCGAGTGGGGCACAGACTGCATGAACACGAGGGATATTCTGACCAGCACTGGACTCACTCTCACACAGTTGATTATAGTCACCAACACTCCGATCGCCTGTTCCACCGTCTGCAGAAACCTGAACAAAAACGACCAAAAAAACATCTTGAATACTGTCACATCCAGTAGCGAAATCAGGGGTTCAACTCCTTGAATTCCTAAATGATCCATATTTTATGACACCCATTTTGGGTCGAGCAACACTAAAGGTGCCATTCGGGGCTTATGTATACGCTATTTTTGAAAAAAGAGCCTGCCGAAACAAAAGAACTTATTGAATATCAAAGAACTTTGTGGTCTATATCATCAAAAACTAGATTTAAGTGTTTTTTAAAGTTTCATAGAAAGGAAAAATTTTCAAAATTTTTTTTGGTGCAAACCATAGTTGCTAGTTGCAATATCTCATTTCTATTCACACAGAAGTGGACTTGCCCTTCGCAAAGACATGCAAAACAAAACAAAACAAAACAAAGCGCTCTAAGGTTGCCAGAAAAAAGTCACGAAAAAACTATTCTGTCAGAATAACCATCTTCAGAACGAACAAAAAATCCACTTGATCTGCACCCGGACCTCAGAGGCATTAACTCTGGGTCTAGTCTAGATTTGCTACTGCTTTAATTTAAGATTTCATGTGGCAAGAACATACGGTTCAATTCACACATACACATTCAACTAAAATGTGCTACTGATATCCGATTCGCTCAAGTATAATTTGATCAGGTTTTTCGTGACCTTTGCACTTTTGCTGTTCGATAGTGAGGCTTGCCTTCGTTACAACAAATGAAATGAAGTGACCTTAAAAATAAATCAAAAGTCAATCCGCGAAACTCAAACTTAAGAGTGAAATTTTTTTACACTATTTCACGGAAAAAAATAATCACCCAAACCTATATAAGATTATTCTCTTCGTTCATGAATCTGAATTATTATACTGCTTATTCGGCCTATAACAAATTTCATTTCTTAGCTCAAATTGGTGTACAAAAGATTAAACTTTTTTTCAGCAAGCGATTCAAGCTATGAACTTTTAAGTTATAGACGCAATTTATTCGCGAATATACTAAGCAAGCTACCCAAGTAATGAAATTATGAAATTGTTCAGCTTTTTTTCTGACCAAAATATTTTGCGGAAAATTTAAAATTTCCAAGCAAGCTATTCCACCTATGAAACATTAAAATAACTTAAGTTAATTCATAAAGCAAATCTGTCCGCGGAAAAGTTTTTCTACGCAATCAATTAAACTTCATGTACAATTTAATTTATGGAAAAATCGGATGGCCAAAAGTAAAATTTTTTTTATTGAAACCACTCAAGCGATAACTTTTTAAAAATATTTCCAAGTTATGTCATAGACCGAGTCAGTTCGTGAAAATTTAGGTTATATAAGCATGGAAGTTGCTTTTTTAGTTCGTTGGTTTTACAGTGAATTTATTCTGTAACCAGAACTTTTTTTGTCAAAAAGCAGTTACTGTCTAACCTTAAATTTAGTCGATATTTTTTTCAATCATAAATTTTTCAAAAAAGTTCTAGAATTTTTCAGACTTAAGAATATTTTAATGAGCGCTCTGAATGATTCGAAGCCTTTTAAAATATTGCGCTCGGTAGCCCGTAAACATTAAGCCTTATGCTGAAAGGATGTCATTCATTCAATCTATAAGATTTTGTTGCTGTTGTTAAAAAAATTTTCTACTACTTATTACCTTTGCGATAAGCAAAGGTATTGCAATCGGTTATCAGACTTTTTTTCGAAATAACTTTAGAAACAGAATGGTCAAATGTGTAAGAATAGTAAACTTCAGACCTTCTCAATTGCTTGAAAACTCAGTTAAAACTAGCCTCATTTAGATATTAATCAGTTGTAGTCCGTTTCCGGTGCTTTCTTCTGAAATGAAATTCATGAAAAAAAATTTAAATTTAATTGTTTTTTTTTCGGTTTCGAGGTTTTTTGGCCTTTTTTCCGCCGACTTAATTTGTTTTTTTTTAAATTGAATTTATAATATCTGGTACTTTTTTTTCGGCTTGTTTTGTCAAGCATGGACTTTTTTGTGATTTAGGAATTTTAAACTAAAATTGATAGTTCTGCAATTTGTCGGTTTTCCAATCTGAATTTTATTCTGTTTATTTTTCTTCAATTTTTCTTCGATTAAACGGTTTAGGTTCATGTTTTGTTGTATAATCAATTTTTTTGCGTAGTTTCGAGGGCAAAAAAAAATTCGACACATTCAGGTATTATCACACTTGCGAGAGCAAGTGTTTTGAAATCGGGTCAAAAATTTTTCCAGGTATCAATTTTTTTGAACCTTCAAAACCTCCAGATTCCTTCTCACTTGCCACAAAGTTAACTCCGTTGCCTCTGTACCTTAAAGCCTGGGGTTCGACTCTCGTTCCCGCCGATTTTTTTCAGTCATTACGAGGCCAAAGTGTGCACTGGATAGGCGCACAATTTTGTGCCTGTATGTTTCTGGATTCCAGAGACAATACTTTAAACATGTTGAAAATTTGTAAAGAATTTTGTTTTAAAATGTAAGGATATACTCTTTTTTTTCTCAGTTCATCTTTTTCTGCTCAAGTTGTGTCTGCTCAAAGATTGTCAGCTTTGTTTCCTCTTCGTAAGTTTTGTTTTGTTGCTTATTTAATGCCCACTTTCCTGGCATGCTAGCCTAGAATGGATTTCTACCGAGAGATACGAAATTTTTTTTTTGGTAGTCCTAGTTTTCCATTTTTTTGGACTTCTTATGTTTTTTTTATGTTTGTGTTTAATCGCAAGTGGTGCGAAGATCCACTTTGCCTCTGTGTCAAAAATTTAAGGATTGTTACACTAGTTCAATTTGTAAGGGAATGAAAAGGATATTATATTGACCTATGATTTCTATAAATAATTGTAGAACTACTAGTTATATCTCAACCCATCCTCCCTCACCCTTACTCTCCCCTCCTCCCCCCCCCCCCCCTCTTGGAACATTAACTTAATGTATTTTTTTTCTATTTCATACCTTAAGACGTTAACTCACGCATATAGCCTTATTAGCATAAAAACAACAACTGCGGAATCAGAAAATTTAAATTGAGGTATTGGAGCTGAAAAGAGTCAAAATTTCACACTCACACGTCACTTGGAATGTTTCCAATGGTGAGTTTGGTTCTCCTGCCCTCGTGCAGGATGACGACAGCCACTAGGCCGAATACGACACTGCACAGATGTGCCTGCAGGTGCAGGACACTCCTCTGCACAGAGATCGACTCCACCAGCTGCAGATGCTCCTCGGAGTACGATTCCGGGATGGTCTGCAGCGCCGAACACTGACAAAATAAACAACAACTTATTAGACAATTGAAAATTGTTTCTGATATCTTTTCAAGTGGATTTTCAGTTTTGAAACTTTTAAATTATCACTTAGCCAAGGCACTTAATGCTAGATTAAAATCATCCACCATTAAATCAATAACGAGAACAAAAATACACTAGTTAAAAATATTTCACGCAAATTCAAGTTTTGTTCCTCTAAAATGCCTAAATTTAAGGACCGTTTTGGACAACATTTAAATGTATTTTACCAAAATTTTTACTTCAACCGATTGCAAAGGAATTAACTACCATCTCTCGTAGACTCAATTTTTGATTTGAAGCAATTACCAAGGTCGAGGAAAAATGTCAGCCGGAACAACGCAATTTTCTCGTTTCACATCGCATGATCAAGTTTGTCTACTCCACTCATTAAAAACATAGCCAACTGACAGTTGGACAAGATTACTGAACAAAAGGAATCAGAAAAAAAAATTTTATGTTAAAAAAATTCATCTTTCGATTTTTTTTAAATAAACGGCCATAAAATTCTTTGAACTTCCAAAACAGTTTAAGATTCGAGATTTTTTAACAAAAAATCACCCAATTTGAGAAAAATGGATCAATAGGTCAATTTTTAGTTACTCTGGGAAGTCTGAAGTTTAAATTCTTTTTTTTGAAACTGGAAACTGATTACGTTTTTTGAAAAGGTTTACTTTTTTACTTTCGATAATGAAATTTTCGTTCCTGTTTAATTAAAAGTTGAACTACTTTCATAAAAGAAATCAAAAATCAAACTGCAGAAATTTAAATTTTCCTGAGAAAATATTACCAAGATCTATCTTTTTTGCGTGCTTTGCTCTTCAAAAGTGTTCACTCCAACAGAAAATTTATTACAAACGCTAAAAACGGGCATTTCCATATCCGAAACAATTGGTAAAAGTTTCAATTTAAAAAAAGAGACTTTGTGAGAGTAGTTAAGATCATTTGCAGTCCTTGAATTCAGCTGCTCTGAAGAGTAAAAAGTTTTTTTTTGATGTGCAGGTTTTTTATGATTGCCCGCAATTAGGTTTCGTAGATTAAAAAAATTATGATTGATATTCATTGTCTGTCTGTGTAAACTGCTAAATAAATAATTTTGAAGGATTAATTATTGATTTTAAAGCGTATGTATCATTACAAGATGTATTTGTTGAAGCTTAATTGAACAAGTGAATTTTTCTATTAAACTTCGAGGTACAAAATAATTGCCATTTAAAATTTTTCGAAATTCAGGACAAACTTATGATAAAAATATTTTTGAAAATTATAATTCAATTGATAGAAATGGATCAAAAAGTAAAATTGCTTGTCCGCTTCCGCTGGGAAGTTTAAAAAAGTAAACTATACGAGACTGGAATTTTTGAAATTAGAAGTCGCTTACGTTTTTTCGCGCAATTTCCTCGTTCGTATTTTGAGAGTGCAACTTATCTAACTTTCAAAAAGTGAAGTATACTTAGGTGCTTTCCTAAATACTTTAATATGTATGAATGCACATCTATAGTTATAAGAAAAACATTTTGAAAGTTTTCTTGAAAAAAAAAACAAAAAAATTACCAAGACCTGTATAAGTCTTCACTACTTTCATCAATTTTTAATAAGATACTTTTGGCAGTATTTTCATACTTTAAATCTCACGTTGTGGGAAGGTCTCAAAAAGTGCTAACTCATACAAAATTATCCCAGTTGCCTGAACTAAAGAGATTTGACGTTAAGCCATCAAAAACAGATGGGTAAAAACTCCACTGCGGATCCGATAAGCTTCGCTTCTGATACATGTTTACTTAATGCGAACGGATCATATATGCATAACATATTTAGTAGAAGTCAAAATTTGGAAGATAGTTTAAAGAGGCGGAGATAGGTTTTTGCTAAAATATTTTTAAAATAATGCGTTGATGAAGCCTAAACATAGCGCGAGATACGTGTCACACGCTTTTTAGTAGACTTGCGGTTTTTTTCACGTGAAGCATACCTTGTTTGTAGGTGGATTGACGTTAGAATGCGCTGGTCTGAAGTGGACTTGAACTTGGGACTTTAGGGGGGCGTAGCTGACAGCAGAGCCACCAGATGCCGCCTGTTGATGAATAATTCCATCGGCAGAAGTCGAAGGAGAATCGGTCGTGTGTTTGGCGATTTTCTTCGTCATGTGACTGCGATGCATCTCAAATGTCAACATAAAGCCTGAAATTGAGATCCATTAAGGTTTCTTCTTGTGGTTTATGATTGTGGTGAGAGCGAGGAAGCAGTAGTAGGGCTGAGATTGGGTTGGAGTTTGGGGATTAGGGGAGGTGGGTGGGTGTTGATTACTTGAAGAAGATAACTATCACTCACCTGTGAGTCTGACTGCGAGTGATGCTATCAGCACATAGAACATGATTGACAAGTGTTGCACTCTGTTGCCCTCCACCACCATCCTCATCACGTGCGGCAACAGACCACAAGACAGCGACAACACAAACACCGCCGCCACCAACTCCCCCATCGGCTCCACCCGCACCCACCCAAAGGTGTTGCGAGAGGTGCTCTCCGATCCGATGAGTCGAGATGACAGCGACACGAGTACGACGATCGCGTCGTGCAGGTGCATTATGGCGTCTGCTTCAATCACTGAAAAAAGCCACTTTATTGTAAAGCTGTTAATTAAAAACAGAATAATTGCCATAAAAAATTGCAGTGAAATTGGAAATAGGTTTTTCGAATCCACGATTACTTTTTTCTTCGCTTCTATTTAATAATTTACCTTAAAAATTACTCTAAAATTACTACATTATGAGAAACTGGATCACAAATCAATTTTGTAATGTTACTGGGAAGGTAAAGTTGTTGTTTGAACCAAAATTGTTTCGTTCTTTACCCACTTTTTTTGTTATTGTAGAACATAATTTGCCAGAATTAAAATCAAGACAAAACTAACTTGAGCGTCAACAATTTTTAAAATTCCCCCTCAAAAAAAAACAAATTAAACACCTAAATTAGCTTCTTCACTTGATTTATTCAAACTAAATCACCTGTACGACTTTTAGTCTATGAGTCAATAAACTCTTTGTTTTCTTTTGTTGATGAGATCCAAAAAAGTTTAAACTCTGCCACTTCTTATAAAAACTGATTTTTTCCTGCTTTATTGACTGGGAAGAATTTTACAATTGACCCAAAAATGTTTTTTTTTCCTTGATTTTAACTTTTTTCAAATTGTAATTGTTTTGTATCTATTTAGGTCAGGCAAGATTTAAATAAACACAATTTTTAGCAAATAGAACTTTCAATTTACAATGAAGCTTTATAAACCTTTCAACTTCAAAGAATTAATGTGCCGCTAAGATAAATTGAAATTCATGGGCGAGTGCGACCAAAAACGCATACCAAACTTTCGCTAAGAACCAAAAAGTGTCATTTTTTTTCTGCAAGCAAACTTTTTAATAAGAAAAAATTTATGATACGTTTAGAAATTTGATTGGGTACTTTTAAATTCTTGAAGTAGCTTTTAAAAGTAGTTTAGTCGGTCTGGAATAACTGACGAACTTTCCAAAATTTGTTTTTCAAAAACATAGATTTCAACTTCTCCCGCATAATTGATGGCATGTGAGTTTAAAAACAAACACTCAATCAAACGGATAAACAAAACAAGCAAAACTTTCCGCATTTTTTGCTAATGAAGCTAAATAAGAGTCTGGATTGATACTACAATCAATCAAATTTCACTTTAAAATTAAAATTATTTGTCGAGGAGGAACAAGAATCCTATTAATCATATCAGGACCAAGCCCTGAATGATCCGACTGCACTTTGAGGCCAATGTTGAAGTTTTTGGTTGAATAATTCATCAAATAATCAAAAAGATTTTTTTTCATGCTTTTCTTTGTTTTAATTTCTTCCTAACGCTATATAAAGTTCAAAAGCATGTATTTGCTCATATGTATTTGTTAGAAGTGAATTGAACAAATAATTTTTTTTTTCATTTGAGCTCCAGACAACAATTTATTCCAAATGGTATAAGCAAAACTTCTGTCTAAAGAGCTTAGTTCAAAAAGTCAAAAATGGAATGAATAAAAATTCTGCCCTTAAACAAAACCTCGAATATCAAATCAAGTAATTTTTTTTTCCGATTTGAAGGAAACGTTTTGCAAGAAAAAATATAAACACAATTAAGTAACATAACTAACAGTTACTGTTCGATGCGACCATGAATTGGAAAAAAAAACGAAATGCTTATGTTTGTTTTGTTTCTTAAAGCAAAATCAGGTTCCACCAAACAAACTTAGAATGAGATTGTGTGACATACCAAAATAAAATTTTTTCATTTATTGTTCGGGCAAACTTTTAAAGCTTTCAAGCTTTTTCTCAAATGTCCTGCATCTAAAAACAATAATTTTGCAATTATGGGTTGAAATTTTCTGAGCTACTCCAACGATATCCGATAAATCTCGACCCACAACAAATTTGTCTTAAAAATGACTTTTTTTGTTGTTTAGAAATCAATTATGCTGCATATCAAGAATTGACCTTAAACATTGAAGATTATATTTCATAAATTTAATTGCAACCCTAATGACAGGTCAAACCTCACAATTCTGACTACATACAAATAATAGGATAACAGATAGCAAATTAAAATTAGAGAAGAGAATATCTTGCAAAAGAAACACAGATAGCGTAGAGCATTAATAACCTCCCAAATGAAACAACTCTGAAGGTCAAAACTGGCTAATGTTGACAAACTTTTTGCTAATTTTTCCAAAAAACATTTGAACTAAAAGGTTTTGAATAGTTGGTTTATTGGTCAAGCTTTTGTGTCAGTACTTGCAGCATCTGGCTTATTCTCCATATTAGAAAAATGTATATGCTCCCATCAGGAAAAATTTTGTTTTATGGGAGATATATAAATTGCTAATGAGCTGTAAGAGTGATGAGAATTAAGCGCGTGTAAAACTATTTGCCTTTGAAAAAAGACTTATGAAAAAAAATTACCACTTCTCGTGATTCAAATAATAAGAGTAATAATAATCATAATAAAATGTTTCCAAACAATATCTAGTTACAAAGTTATTTATAAAAATTTATAAATACAAATTAGAATAGTTTGGGAGAACACCATTAAGCCAACAAGGCCTGTTTTCAGGTGTCTCATTAAGCGGAGAACAAAAAAGGTACTTAAATTCTTTGATCCAATGCAATGGACCTTCTACCGGTAACCATTTTTTAAACGTAAAACCTCGTTATTCGCACCTTTAAACCATTCTCTATATATAAAAAAACTTAATTTAGTTTTCTCAGGTAGTCTTTTCTTAGAAACCAACAGAAACAAGTTCTACTTATTGATCAATAAAAAGTCTCACAGCATGCCCAGTAAAATCGTATTTCCTAGAATTTAATTATTCAAAAAATTATGATTAAAACTATTTAATTGAAACCGAGAAGCCACTTTCAAAAAATTGACCCAGGTGGGAAAAAAATTTATTACAAAGTTTTTTTTTTAATTTTAGGTGTAATCAACCCTCGGTTGAGTTTATTTCTGTTTATAGCTAACTTTTGATTCGTTTTTCGCTTTGAAAAAATCACGTTCAATTCTTGTTTAGTAATCGAATATCTCAAGGTTTCAACTTGGCACTCTTTTCGGATAATTTTTCCGGTTAATTTCAGAACTTCGTAAGCAAAAAATTTTCTTACTGTATAAATTTTTATTATCGTCCATTTTTTCAGTGATTGAATCCATCCTGTATTTATAAAAATTATTCTGATTAGCCCTCTGATTTTCATTTCCAGTAGTGTTGTTTCTGGAAAAACAGAGGGTTCTAAAAAGCTTTATGAATTTGTCTAAGGATAGTCTGTCGTTTTATACTTCCCCATTTTCCTGATAGCCTACCCGTACTGGAGTTTCATGGATAATAATCGATTATGTTAGATGTTCATTGTCAATCTCTACAAAGTTCAAAAATATTTATTATAATTGATTCAAAAAAGATTATAATTTAATTTTGGTCAAATCAATAAAATCCATTTTGATCAGTTATACTCAACTACAATAGCTTAAAATCAATTATAATGTTTTATAATTCATTTTTTTGTGAATTTTTCTGAAAGTTTCAGAAACAGAGCAGTATAATCAACACTTAAAAGTTTCTTTTGGCTTGATACAGGTTGCAGATAAAACGAGATCTGCTTTGGCTTATGTCATGTTTTTTTTTACTTGGGTAGACTTAGAGCTAGAATATAAATGAATGATCATCCTCCTGCATAATCTTTGCAGAGACATGAATTTATTACGAAAATCTTAACACAAATGCTTTAGTGCCAAAAATAGAAATAACACCTTTTTATAATATACATCTGTTTGTTTGAAACGCTAGTTTTAAAACTATTATGGAGGTTCTGTAATTCTAATGGCATAAATAAAAAAGCTTTAATAACCTATTTAAATTTCTTATTGCTTCCATACCATGAAGAGTTTTGTTTAAACACCTTCTAGCTTCTTCTTCAGAAAAATTGTATGTTCCACTTTTAATCAACTGCTTTTTTCTGAAAACACTCTGGAATTTGTTTTAAAAAACTTGTTTTCCGAAAAAAATTATTTTTTATTTCCCTAAAAATAATGAAATAGCTTGTGCGCTGCCCCAGACTGAACGAATCATCATACCACGTTAGAATATGAGTATTATTAAAGCTAATTACAATATAGTGGCGTTAGAATTTTTTAAACTGCGGAGGCGATGCATTGAGCAAAATGGTCCACGAGCACAAAAACTCCAAGAAAAAAAACACAACATTGATTTAAACAGACAAATCGATAAAAGACGAAAACAAGTATTGGATTCGCCAATTATACAAGTAAAATGAATAAATTATACATAAGTGGAGAAGATTCAACAATTTTTTAAAATATGTTTAACCTACTTAATTAATGTATAAGGTATTCATTCAATTTGTATTATTGACAAGTCTAATATTTAATTTAACTATTGGCTCTTGTAATTCATTTTTTTTGTTTGTGCTCGTATACCTTTTCTGCTCCTTGACCGGTCATCATTTTAACACATAAGCACATAATCTTCAAAAACTTTAGGATCGGATTCAGGATTTTCTCGAGAGGGGCGCATTTTCACTTTTTTCAAGTCAGCCATGTTGGTTTACGTAATTCTCCAAAACCACTTAAAAGTACCCTGTTGTAATCAATTTTTCTGTCAAATTTTTTTGAAACAAAACAGGCCAAAAAAGGCGTTAATGTGCACTTTTTTTGGAAAAATTTTTACTAAGCGCTCATTGCTGGTTGAATGCTTAGTAATTTTATCCTAAGTTATAAGTCTCACCTTAAATCGTCAAATTGTCTTGACAAAAAGTAGAGTAGAAACGATAGTTAGAAAAGGTATGAATTAATTAGTCGGTTAAATACAGAGCACTGGGTAATTAGATTATATAAGCGAATCGAACAGCTTAAAGAAATATACCTATGAGGGGAGGTTGAGTTAATCTTATTTTGTTCATCAATATTTTATCTTTTTACTAAGGTCGATGACTGAGTAGTATTTCTTGGGTTGCCTTGATGTTGTCCACTTGGCACTTCTGGTTTGGTTGTCAATTTCGTCCTGCCGTAGTCCTTTGGGTACTTGTAGTCC